CTCTCTCTATTCTCTCTCTCTCTCTCTCTCTCTCTCTCTCTCTCTCTCTCTCTCTCTCTCTGACCATCATGCTAGCGGCTAGCGGTCAGGAACCCCGGCCCCTGGTCAACGTCCTAGAGGTCATTCAAGCAGCTGCAGATATCGACAAACCTAGTCACTAATTTCTACACTATGCGCATAGGTGGCGCTCGTAAAGGCAGCAGTATACTGCTGTCACAGGACCATCTGTTGTGGGCGTAGGCAACAGCTACGACCGTACTCACGCACGCACGCGCGCACGAGCGCACGCACGCGCTCACGGACACATGCACGCACGTACGCACACACAAGCGCGCAGGCCCACCCGCACGTGCTCGCGCATGAACGTACGCACGCGCTCGCGAACACACGCACGTTCGCACACACGTAGGCCCGCACGCTCGTACGCCCGCCCGCCCGCACAAACGCACGTACGTACGCACGCACGCGCGCATGCGCCTCACGCACACGCGGGCACATATATCCCATCACGTGATAAGTGACGTAAATTTCGAGATGGCTTCGTCGACATTTCTAATCTAATGGTGTATTTCAGCTGATGACGTCAGCGCTATCGATAGTACACATCTATTTCACGTGGTCGCACTCTCGCTGTCGCCCGCCGTGCGTCATGCACCGCGTACCAACTCTGTCGCATCCGTATGAATTAATTATGAGATCATCCACGACGTTTAAATGTGATAAATATTATAAATGATCATACAGCGTGCGCAAGAATCGTCACCGGCCCGTTATCACGTGATCATCGGCGCTAATTTGCATATTCCCTTATGTCGGGTTCCCGTTATGTCAGTGCACTGCTGCCATTTGATATTTTATAAGACAGATATACGTAAAGCTGCCTGTAGATATGATATAACATACATATTATATGTATACTGCTGCTTATACATATGCTATAATACACATACATGTACTACGTCTTATAGATATTCTATAATACACATATATCTACTAGTGTCCATCGATATTCTATAACACACATATATCTACTGCTGCATATTATATAGATTACTTCTGCAAATAAATAATGAAAAATGCTTTTATCTTGTCTCAAAACTCAAAAAAACGTTGCTTCGTGGAGGAAAAGGTCGTTCGATTTTCCGCCGTTAGACGATGAAAAATAAACTCGGTATTTTTCGCGGAAGAACAGTCTATTTTTAACGGTTGAGTCGTGTGTGCGTGCGTGCGTGCGTTCGCGTGTGTGTGTGTGTGTGTGCGTGCGTGCGTGCGTGTGTGTGTGTGTGTGTTGTGTTGTGTTGTGTTGTGTTGTGTTGTGTTGTGTTGTGTTGTGTTGTGTGTGTTGTGTTGTATTGTGTTGTGTTGTGTTGTGTTGTGTTGTGTTGTGTTGTGTTGTGTTGTGTTGTGTTGTGTTGTGTTGTGTTGTGTTGTGTTGTGTTGTGCTGTGCTGTGTTATGTTGTGCTGTGCTGTGTTGTGTTGTGGTATGTTGTGTTGTGTTGTCTTGTGTTGTGTTGTGTTGCGTTTTGTTGTGTTGTGTTGTGTTTTGTTGTGTTGTGTTGTGTTGTGTTGTGTTGTGTTGTATTGTGTTGTGTTGTGTTGGCTTGTGTTGTGTTGTGTTGTGTTGTGTTGTGTTGTGTTGTGTTGTGTTGTGTTGTGTTGTGTTGTGTTGTATTGTTTTATTGCCATGCGTGTGTGCGTGCGCTTGTGTGTGCAAGGGAGGGGGTTGTCTGTGCATGTATGGGGCGGAGGGTATTGTTGCGCGCGTACATGTGTGCGTGCGTGTGCGTGCATGCGTGGGTGTGCGCGTGTGCGTGTGCGCGTGCGTGTGCGTGTGCGCATGGAAATCATTAAAATTGACATTTTAGTTTGCATCTCCCACGCGATTAATATGTTTATAATTCGCAAATTACTCGCTCATTCCGAATACGGCTTACATTACGAGCTAATCGGGGCGAGCATTTGCGGAGCAATTTACGAACGAGAACATTTTCGTCGTTAATTTTACTGAATTTTCTTATAGGTCCTTATAAGCACTATATTTAACTACCTATCAAAAAATTTCATACATGATTGGGACTGTTTTATTTTTGTTAAAAATGCGTGTCTGTGTGTTATTTTAGGTATTCCTGGTGTTATAGTGGCCATCTCGCTTGCAGCCACGCGCACCGAAGGCTACGGCAGCGACACCTATTGCTGGCTAACCAATCAGAATATGCTCATGTTAGCTTTTGTAATTCCGGTCGGGACTGTGGTGTGCGTGAGTAACTGTAGTTTGCATATTATTTACGTAATCTCTTTTGCAGCTTCGATGATTTTTTATTATAACTCATTCGATCGCAGTGATTTAACGTTAAGTTTTACACGTATAACCTTTTGCTACCTTCTTATATATATTTCTTGTCTGTGACCCTTTAGGCAAACATTGTATTGCTCGCCCTTGTTTTCCGAGCAATGTTTCATTCTCAAGCCGTGAGGAGGAAAACAAACAGAGAGCGGGTCGGGTAAGAAAACAACTCTTTAAGAAAATCGTTAAAAAATATAAATACACACTTACATTCACACATAAACAAACGAATTAATGAATATATATAATATATTGAATCTACTAAGATAACTAATTGCGGATATCATCTTTTGCATCTTAAAGGCTTCTTCGTTCGTTTTACAACCGCCATCAATGGCGATGATCTCTATCGTCATCAGGTTAACGCGATCGTTGCTGTTTCAGAACGACGTTGCGGAGTCTGTGCGTGTTGGTGCCTCTTCTCGGTGTGACGTGGATATTTGGATTTCTACAGTCAATCGATTACCTGAGCGAAGTCTCGCAATATTTATTCGTAATTCTAAATTCAATTCAGGTATATAACAGGCTCGGGTGTTGTCCAACTAGGCACACACACGCGCGCGTACACACGCATGCACGCACGCACGCACGCACGCACGCACGCACGCGCGCACACACACACACACACACACACACACACACACACACACACACACACACACACACACACACACATATATATATATACTGAGAAAAATCTGGTTTATAATTAAAACCACTTCCCTTGTGCGTTGTAGCATTATGAGGTTAAACCAGTCAAGGCGCTGTTAGAGGACGTGATTAGTATATTTGAGGCCTATTTAAGGGTGGCATATAAAAATGACCACCGCTAACAATCCCGCCCGCTAAATAAATAACAGCAAAGGTCTAGCAGATAAAGGTGTTCGGACAATAGACACGTGACGCTATAACCACGTCACTAGCCTCCGCTGTTTTAAGTATAGTTAAAGTCTCGTTATTAAAGTCTAGTCCGGCACAACACTCTTCAGCAACGCTTGCGGAGTTTAAATTCATGATATCTCGACACTCACAATCAATTGCTAACAGTTAACAGCATTGGCTCACCATATCATCCTGTAACCAAATTAGGTTTCCCTAGGATCCAATGGCTCATCCATGGGATCAATTACACGGAATATTTCATTGAATACTGAGGCCACTGTTAGTACTGGTAATAGAATTAGTATTTGCTTTTCAGGGACTGTTCATATTCGTGTTTCACTGCCTGCTCGACGCGCGCGTCCGTGAGGCGGCGACGCGGCGCTGGCGACAGCGGTCGACGTTGATAATGGCCAGACAAGATGTCAGCGCCCAGACCACCAACAGTCGCATGTCGCGCACGTTCCACGCACTGAGAAGTGTGAGTTCGATGTGGATAGTAGATAAATCAATACTCGATCGGTGCGAATCTTAGAAAAATTCGTGTTCGCGAAGTGACGGTGCACGATTTCTTATATTCTGAAAGGTTCATAATTATACGCTGAATGGTCAGTGATTCGAGTCCCGAATTGCTCACTGTTAAATACTGGTTCATTTTATCCGAGTTGCAACAGTAGGCACCTGAAGTGCAAATGTGTTTAGAACACCGGTGTTCGGCTGGCGTAAAAGCGAGTAGCTTAGCTGGGCGAAACCTAGCAGAGAAGCCAAAATAATGCGGGTGCAATGTAATAGTCCTATGGTCCACGAATAGAACGAAATAGGTCGTTAAATCGCGATCGTAACTGATGGACAATCTTTACAGTCGTGTTTATGCTATGCTGGTTTTTAGGCTAGCTCTCCAGCTAACTCTGCTTGAGGTATAGCATGTTATCATCATAAAACGTACGCAGTCATATACGCCTATGCGTATGCAATATAAATGTACATTTTATTAATAATTCTCTGTGGTAATAATGCTCTTATTTTTAATGCATTATTGATTCGAATGCACTAATGCAATTTCAGCTAACTACGACTTCAAGTCGCATTTCGCAAACGTCCAGGAATTCTGGTGAGTAGGAACAAACACACAAATTTATTTATATTATACGTTTTAAGCGCAATTTGTCGAGAAACCTACATCTTCATCTCTATTCGTACAATGCAAAGCCATTGCTCATAGTTATTTTTAAACGTGTTTTATAGCTTGCGTAGTAACTTCTATTAAATCTTATTAAGCTACGCAATTAACCAACTAAGCGTCGAGATTTTCTCTACGCGATTCCGAAAACAAATTGTACGAAAAGCGGTAAAATTGTTGCGCAATTTCCCGTCATTATATGATTTTAATTTTTTCCACGCCTGCATGATGTAGCTTTCACGCCGATGCTTAAAAGTCAGACTTCAGAACAAAAGTCTAATGTCCAGTCGCCGGGGACGGATCGCAAGACAGAGACATCAATCTAAGGAAGGAGACATTGTATTGTATTGTGTTGTGCTGTGTTGTGTTGTGTTGTGTTGTTGTGTTGTGTTGTATTGTGTTGTGTTGTGTTGTGTTGTGTTGTGTTGTGTTGTGTTGTGTTGTGTTGTGTTGTGTTGTGCTGTGCTGTGTTATGTTGTGCTGTGCTGTGTTGTGTTGTGGTATGTTGTGTTGTGTTGTCTTGTGTTGTGTTGTGTTGCGTTTTGTTGTGTTGTGTTGTGTTTTGTTGTGTTGTGTTGTGTTGTGTTGTGTTGTGTTGTGTTGTATTGTGTTGCGTTTTGTTGTGTTGTGTTGTGTTTTGTTGTGTTGTGTTGTGTTGTGTTGTGTTGTGTTGTGTTGTATTGTGTTGTGTTGTGTTGGCTTGTGTTGTGTTGTGTTGTGTTGTGTTGTGTTGTGTTGTGTTGTGTTGTGTTGTGTTGTGTTGTGTTGTGTTGTGTTGTGTTGTATTGTTTTATTGCCATGCGTGTGTGCGTGCGCTTGTGTGTGCAAGGGAGGGGGTTGTCTGTGCATGTATGGGGCGGAGGGTATTGTTGCGCGCGTACATGTGTGCGTGCGTGTGCGTGCATGCGTGGGTGTGCGCGTGTGCGTGTGCGCGTGCGTGTGCGTGTGCGCATGGAAATCATTAAAATTGACATTTTAGTTTGCATCTCCCACGCGATTAATATGTTTATAATTCGCAAATTACTCGCTCATTCCGAATACGGCTTACATTACGAGCTAATCGGGGCGAGCATTTGCGGAGCAATTTACGAACGAGAACATTTTCGTCGTTAATTTTACTGAATTTTCTTATAGGTCCTTATAAGCACTATATTTAACTACCTATCAAAAAATTTCATACATGATTGGGACTGTTTTATTTTTGTTAAAAATGCGTGTCTGTGTGTTATTTTAGGTATTCCTGGTGTTATAGTGGCCATCTCGCTTGCAGCCACGCGCACCGAAGGCTACGGCAGCGACACCTATTGCTGGCTAACCAATCAGAATATGCTCATGTTAGCTTTTGTAATTCCGGTCGGGACTGTGGTGTGCGTGAGTAACTGTAGTTTGCATATTATTTACGTAATCTCTTTTGCAGCTTCGATGATTTTTTATTATAACTCATTCGATCGCAGTGATTTAACGTTAAGTTTTACACGTATAACCTTTTGCTACCTTCTTATATATATTTCTTGTCTGTGACCCTTTAGGCAAACATTGTATTGCTCGCCCTTGTTTTCCGAGCAATGTTTCATTCTCAAGCCGTGAGGAGGAAAACAAACAGAGAGCGGGTCGGGTAAGAAAACAACTCTTTAAGAAAATCGTTAAAAAATATAAATACACACTTACATTCACACATAAACAAACGAATTAATGAATATATATAATATATTGAATCTACTAAGATAACTAATTGCGGATATCATCTTTTGCATCTTAAAGGCTTTTTCGTTCGTTTTACAACCGCCATCAATGGCGATGATCTCTATCGTCATCAGGCTAACGCGATCGTTGCTGTTTCAGAACGACGTTGCGGAGTCTGTGCGTGTTGGTGCCTCTTCTCGGTGTGACGTGGATATTTGGATTTCTACAGTCAATCGATTACCTGAGCGAAGTCTCGCAATATTTATTCGTAATTCTAAATTCAATTCAGGTATATAACAGGCTCGGGTGTTGTCCAACTAGGCACACACACGCGCGCGTACACACGCATGCACGCACGCACGCACGCACGCACGCACGCACGCGCGC